TCAAATTAAAGCAAATGCCTTCCTAGAAGAAACACTTCAGTGTATCATAAGTTATCAAGTATCTGAAGGAAGCATGTAGGAAATATGGGGGGTCAGTTTGGGTGACCTTCTGATTGCACTCATCTTAAAACCCTATAAAGCTGAAAATAAATCATTACTCAAAAGCAAGTCGTAGCTCACTAATATTATTTGTCTTATGTTTCCAGAGCTTGAGTTCTTTCAGTCACGAGCAATGTTAATCACTTGGTAAAAGCACTCCCTGAAAAGTCCCAGTAGGCTCTCCAGTTGGCAAGCACATTCCGTTGTCTTTTGCAGCACCACCCTCTTAGTACCAGAGGGTATTTACTTAGGTGAGATGGAAGGAGACTTATTTCACAGACAGCTGAGCTGCCAGTTGCTGGTAGGTAGGTTCTGTTGCTGTCTTGTATTTATTCCCCAGCATCAGAAGATCACCCACAGAACACAACTTAGAACTGACATCAGCTTATTTATCCTGTCTTCCTTCTGGATATGCACGTACACGTGTAAGTCACAACTGCCAGTCCAGCTGCCCTAATCCAGTAGCTGCTACGTTCAGCTTCTCTGAAACTACAGCTGGGCAAGATCAGCCCATAATGTGCTCTAACTGATATACGAGTATCAGCTAATCATTTCCAACCCAAACCAGAATTCATATCACTGGCAATGACAAAAGTCATCCTATGACTTGCAGCCCTAAACAAATAGATCCAAAGTTTTTTTTTTTTTTTTTTTTTTTTTTTTTTTTTTTTTGTTATTCTTTTTCTTAACAGAATCATGTCACTCACTTTAACTAGGATATTGCATTACGGAGCAATATCCATGCAACAACAAGTACTTAAACAGAATACACATGCAGACAGTAAAGCTTTTAATATTTTGCAGTGTTTAGATCCAGGTTTCTGTCTCTCTAAGAGGAGAAGCTTTACAAAAACAGAGATCTGTCAGACTGGATTTTCCAATCGTAATTCAGGTTCACTACAGAGTCACACTGCGGCGTGGCAGCACATGACATTGCATTGCAATGTAAAGGCAACTGAGGGTATTTTTGGGTTTGCATTCCTCCACTGCACAGACCATACTGCAGCGATGAAAGGAGGAGACCAAAGGCTGACTTTCCTTGCTAAATCTGTGACCAACCACTTTTTTCCAATCATCAAATTTCATTTCTCCAGTCTGAAAGCAGAAATAAAAGGAATGAATAACTGGATTCTTTCAATCCCTGAACACATGAAATTTTTAAAAGCAAAGTTTTCTCCGTGGCACCCTTGGGCAACCTGGAGTTCTGTTCTGACAATACCAGAGAAGTAGGTCTTCCTTCACTAGGATCTCCTCTGAACACTTCTGTGCTTGCACTGGGGCCATGAGATGCAAAGACACCAGGGAAACAGAGCAGCGATTTACACTGACAAAGAGGATTTTGATACACTCCTCCAAATGGGGCAGCATTACCATCTTAATAGCCTTTTGCTCTCAGCCCTCTTCCTGAGGACGCTGGAGATTTTTGCGAATGGAGAACAGTTCCGCTTCCCATTTTAACTGCAACAATAGCAAAGGGCTCCTTAAACTGCATCAAATAGCAGCCTGTGAAATCCCTAACTAGCCGCACTGCCTCTCCTGCCGTTTTATTATCCTCTGGCCCACAGAACAAAAGGGGGGAGCTCCTCCTCATTTTTAGCCTATTCCACACATCCTAATCCCTCAGAGGTGGCAATGGAAATTGCTTGTGGAACTGTTAAATCACACTTTCACTTTGTCTTTCATTCCCTATTCACCCTCACTAATCAAGGAGCTTCCAGCCACATTTTCCGATATCAATTTTGTTTATGGCCTATTGGTTAATGGTCCCGGGATGGGACCCCCTGAGTAAGAAGAAAGAATCCTGGGCATTTCAGACAGCTGCCGCTTCCCACCAGTTCCCACACCCATCCACTTGTTCTCATCAGACGCCCTGAATGTGCTCACCTCCTGACACCAACTGAATTAAACAACAAAGACTGAATGGGAAAGCTGCCTTTGCAATCCTGCTGCGGGACAGATTCCACTTGTTCGCACTCTACGACATCCTTCAAACCGCAACACAGGGACAACTCCCCCGCCAGCTAACCCGCGGCCAGTCGCCCTAGGGACATCTTACCTCGCATCCAGCTTCCCTGTGGAACGTATAAGCTTCAACTCTTACAAAAACTCTAGCCTCTCTTGCACAAGGCCACCCACCATCACTCTGCTAATGGCTCTGTCTTGTTAGGTAGCAATTCCTGTCAACATCTTACCTGAAACAATCATTTTCATGTGATTTGCTCACTTCTCTCTGCAGAAATAATGCTCATTGAAGTGTGGGAAGGAAACATGCAATATTTACTTTGTAAAACTTTGTGAGATGCTTCTCATGTGTAAGTGCTTACAAGTCTCTGTAAGGATACTAGCAGCAGGACCTTATCATTGAACCATGACATCACCAATAGCACTAGACTCACAAACCTAGAATCTAAAAGAACCAGCATGTAAAATCATAGAAATGCCAGATTTGGATTACACTATGTGAACATTTAAGGTTCAGATCCTGCTGTCTGATCTCTGGCCAGGACATTACCTGCTACGTAAAACAGTCTGGGGCACATTATCAGGGGAACCATGCCCTTGCATACTATCCATTTTGGAAAAAATATCTAAACATAACAGCATAGTCATAAACTAAGAAAAAGCTTACACAGAGAAAAGCTCCAAGCTGCTTTCCGAATATACAAAGAATGCCTGATGGCAAGATAATGCTCACTTAGAGAAATCCACGCTGATTTTAGAAAAATGGTGAACGCACACCCCAGAAACATATGGATACAGATAAAAGAGCAATTGATACATTCCTCATACAGTGCTGTTAAGCATCATACTATCAGAGAGCCTTGCCATCATCAGTCCATGTTATCAGGCCAATCTGCTCTTTAAAGGTAGGGTTCAGTCCTTAGAAAGCTATTTTCCCAGCTTACTGAAAAGATTTGAAACAAATAAAGATCCTCTCTGAACAAATGATCCCAGTTTCTGAAATAGTAAGTTTTTCTTTCCCGAAGTGTCACTACATTAGTGCGTGAAGACAGAGCAGGAAGTTGTCTACGTTTTTAATGATGACCAGAAACATCTCTGCAACTCAGAAGATAATTGAGATAGAGAAGTGGTATGTCTTATACCCCGTCCTTAATCAAAATATGTCCAGAGCAACTCTTGCAAGCCATCTCAATTTAAACCAATAAAAAATATTGCTAGTACATGCAGCCTGTTTAAAATTACCAGTACCACATAAGGCAAATTGAAGTCCCAGAATGCCATCTAATACACTGGGTTTAATGTCTAAAGGTTTAGGAAACACCCAATAGACCCTCGTTATTATGTAGATGCATCAAATGGAAGAAAAAAAAAAGTTTTGTTCCTTTTCTTTTGTTTTCTTAAACTAGTTATTACCAGTATTTTAAGCTTATCTAATCATGTGTTCAGTTTTGGGCCCCTCGCTACAAGAAGGACATCGAGGTGCTTGAGCGGGTCCAAAGAAGGGCGACGAAGCTGGTGAGGGGCCTGGAGAGCAAGTCCTATGAGGAGCGGCTGAAGGAGCTGGGCTTGTTCAGCCTAGAGAAGAGGAGGCTCAGGGGTGACCTTATTGCTCTGTATAAGTACATTAAGGGAGGCTGTAGCGAGGTGGGGGTTGGCCTGTTCTCCCATGTGCCTGGTGACAGGACGAGGGGGAATGGGCTAAAGTTACGCCAGGGGAGTTTTAGGTTAGATGTTAGGAAGAATTTCTTTACTGAAAGGGTTGTTAGGCACTGGAACGGGCTGCCCAGGGAGGTGGTGGAGTCACCATCCCTGGAAGTCTTCAAAAGCCGTTTAGATGTAGAGCTTAGGGATATGGTTTAGTGGGGACTGTTAGTGTTAGGTTAGAGGTTGGACTCGATGATCTTGAGGTCTCTTCCAACCTAGAAATTCTGTGATTCTGTGATTCTGTGAAATGTAAATACATCGCTGATCTGGTACTGCCTGTTTGTAGGTGGGAAATGGGCAATCAGAAGAAAGAGAACTGTTCACATACCTTAAAAAGTCTGTAGCGTTTTTATATTAGCAATCAGTGCTAAAATCAGTATTTAGCAATCAGTGATTGCTAATCACTGGAACCTGAGAAACAGCAATACTCAGCTTTCTTAATACCATGACTACATATTAGAAAGTATCCTCTGAACAAAAAGTCTGCTAAACTGCTGCAGCAATCAGGACCACGACTGCATATCAACACAGAGGAACTAAACACAGTTGGTCTATGAATGTCTGTCAAAAAATAGATAGATTAAAGGAATACTTACTGGGATAAGTAGGGAAAAGAAATGAAGAGCTGCATTTCCCTCTTTCACAATGGTTCAAAAACATGTATTTTAGGAGATGGCCACAAAGAGCCCTAGTTCCCTGCCATCATACTATTACCCATCTTTTCAGTACAATACTCACACCATAGAGAACCTTAGGATTATTTAGGGCCCTGTGGCATTCACATTAAAGTGATCACAGAAATAGAGGACAGATATTAATTTCCCATATTTTATTGATGCTGAGCCATTTGCTAAAGAGAAACTATTTATTAGAACATGCTACTAATGATAGACAGGTATGCTCCTCCTGGAAAAATCTCTCCCATAGGAACAATGCCAGAACCATTCAACTTACTTTGAATGAAAACAGGGAGATGTAATAAATTCAGGGCCTATTCTTAAATCCATGTGAATATGCAGCAACTAATTTAATATTACCCAAGGTGAGACGGAAAGCAGCAGAAGGCTGCCCTTGTCAACTAGACTGTTCAAATGTGTGTGTGGGTTTTTTTTTGGTTTGTTCTTGTTTTTAATTAGTTAAAACCAGCACCATTTCAACAACCATCACTGTTACCTGCCTTCAGCCTGCTTAAAACACTATTTGTAAAAGGAAAGTAATCAATGCTCTGATCCTACCTTGAAGAACCAAGCCTGATTTCTCAATGGTGTAGAAAAAAACGGAAAATGGAGCAACAGGGGATTTTGCAACCAGGATCTGCAAAACAAACAAACAATGTATAAGTACATATCTCTATCACATACTGATCAGAGCTCAAATTTGTAGAACAATCCCACTAGATTTAACTTCCAGAAGCATTAAAGCATAATGTAGAAATAACAAGGTTGCTATTGATCTAACCCTGTCACTTCTAAGTAGAGATCTTCTCACAGGAATGTAGAGCTCATACTGCAATTTAAAAAGGATTCTCAGGTAATAAAAAACCAACCATCATAAAAACAACGTGTTTTGCTTGTTTTATTGGCAAATAAGATGATCATTCTTGCTGGTTCGGGCAGGAGACAATTTTTGAGCAAGCTGTAATTGCTGCTGTGTAATGTAATTTTAATCCCCATTAGCAATTCTAGAGATGCATCCCCTTGCCTTCCCCAAGCATTCCACCATGTTCCTGCTGCCCCAGATGCAGTATGATCCACCTGTGGGTCACCACACCGGGGAAGGTAACATGGCATTGCAGTGATCTGGATGTCCTCTTTTGAAAAAGGGTCAGTGACCGAGTCAAGTTTATGTGAGAATCCTGTCTTCGGAGTTTCAAAATAGGAACTGAAATTCCCTGAGGGTTTACAGTGCAATCAGATTTAGCTTGGCATCTGGGTATGCTAACCCTCTATGGCTGGGTCAGAAATACTCAAAGCCCTCTGACTCCACTATGGAGGAAACACCCACTACAGAAGATGAACAACAGCAGAGCTCTGGACACACAGAAATGGATTTAGCAAGGTTGGGATGTGGAACTGACAGTGCCAGCCCAAATGACACGAATGTGCCTGGCTTTATTGTTTGTCTGCCTGATTTTTGCTGACTGGGGAGGACCGTTCTGTTACGGTTTGCCACAAAGTAACCCCCGTTCTATCACCTATGTGAAAGTGAGAGTTTAATGGTAGATTTAATAAGCTCTGCCAAGAGTGTGATCAGCACAAACCCTGGTCTAGTGATCCCCACGTCCCCAGGGAACTGAAGACCAGTTCTCCCAGTGCAGCACAGTGGAAGAGCCGTCCCATCCCGACAGGCCCTGAGGGCACCATTTGGTGAGGCTGCTCCCCCACCCCATGCTCTGATCCTTTTCAGGGTTCTGCTGTCAGCACAGCCACGTCACAGAGCCCACCCCAACTGCTCAGGAAATCCAGCAGGCCTGCCTGTTTGCTTTGCTTCAGCGTATTGATTTCATTTAACCTCAGCAGTAAGGCCTCACCCAGCAGCGTATTTTAGCACCAGCACGCATCTCAGCGCTTACATTTCCGAGGCCTTCTCAGTACTACACCCCTTCAGCCCAAGATACCCAACCTCCGGCAGCTGCGTCCAAATCCAGACTTCTTAGAACTACAGACAAAGATCTTAGTTTTAGAGGCGTGGAGCACCAATAGCTCCTGCTGACTTCAAATGGAGTAAGTTATTTCCATTACTCCCAAATGTCATGCCCCAATTCCACCCAACAGTCAAGCACGCCTAAAGGCTGTTATATATGATTTTTGTTGGAGGTGTCTAATGATCAGCAGGCAAACAGTGAACATTGTTATATAAAAGTCAAGACAGACCTCAGAAAAATGAGGAAGTTCGTACTCAACAAAACTTTCCCTTGAAAAGTCAGACAGTACTGAATCACTGTATAGATACACAGAGCTGGAACATTTATTCCTAAGTGTAAGATTAACAATATCAAGGACCAGAAGTTTGGGCTCTGAAGTATACTTATGTAATAACAGGATTTGGCAGCAAATTCTGCTGCTGAATCAAGGCATATGTAACTTTCCTGTAGCGCTTTAAATGTTAAGGATATCTCTATAGTAGGCAGGTTTCATTTGTGTTTGTAGTCTGCAGACACCATCATGCTGAGATTTCTTGTGACTTTCTCATCTGATTCTGATGCAGACTGAAGAAACAAAGTCCTTATACCTGGGCTTTAAACGTAATCATTATAACCCACACGCACCCACAGCTAGCCAACAGTTTTACGGTTTTCAGAATTTAAACCAAATATACTCTTTCTTCTTCAGACAGTAAAAAATAAAGGAATGCACATGAAGAACACAAATACAGCCGGAGAACATCAGACCAGTCCAAATGTCAATGTTTTCCTTATGAAGCTGGCAAAACCATCCCAGGATGTGATACAACCTTTGTGAACTACTCCAAGTAGGAAAAGTGCCATGCTAACACTTTCCCCTCTTGCATGCTAATTCTTCTTTTTCTATTCTTCTTTCTAACAAACTTCTGGAGAAAGGAGAAGCATGCCACATCACGTGCCTGTGATGCACCTTGACAAACCCAGAACTCCCTTTCCTGTCATTATTCCCAGAGAGACAGACAGCCCTTCTCACTTTTGGGGTAGGATGGAGAATCTGAAGGGAGACAACAGAGTGCCTCCTTGTGCTTAAAAGTCCTGTGATGCCAACGCAGCGCTGATCTCTGAGAACGTGAGAGAGAGGATGGAGTGGGAAAACTGTGCAAATGCTCAGCTATAGTCTCCCACAACAGCTGGATGTGTAATCAGATTGGCCCAAAGTGAAACAGTTACAAACCTGATGTCTAAGGTCAGATTTTTGGCAATCTGTGCAGTGCTATGCACATAAATATTAACCTATATATGAATGTGCACTAGGCACAGTTGTACGTGCAAACAGCTAGACATTCAAATAACCCTATGTACATTCTGTTACTGCATTTTTATGTAGTTACAATATGTGCATAACTAAGTATAGCAATGAAAAAACATAATAAATCACATCCTTTCAGCAGCACATCACAGGACCTCTCTGAAAGGCTGCTCCACAGTTACATCTGAGGCTCAGAATTAGCTTTCTTTTTAGAAAGAACTTGCTCATGATATTCAAAAGTAATGCTTTACTTCGAATGTTTGCTTACTGCGAAAAATAACCTTAAGTATGATTGCATTATTTCACAACCAGGTAGAGTACACATTTTTTTTTTTTTTATAACACCAAACTCCACATTAACATAAATTGAAAAAAGTAAATATGTATTTACATTTGTGTTCTGACCAAAGAGAAAAAAACAACTATAAAAGGTCACTGCAAATCATTCTCTGGATTGAACAGCCTACACACAGTAGGTTCTTAAGCATATTCCAGGAATTTAGGAAATACAGAAGGAAAAACAGATTAAAAAAAAAAAGTGTTTTGGAGGCCAAGAAGTGAATTGCCAAAAATTGAGGTACTGTTGAGCTTGGAAAGAATATCAGCAATATCAAAAAGGAAATTAAAATTGGGAGTTATAGTGAAATTAGATAGTGATTAAACTTTCTGGAAATGAGTGAAGACATCAGTTTTCAACAAGCAGGAGGATGCTGAAGAAGAGGAAAAGCAAGGCTGATAATTGGAACAATCATATAGATGCAGAAACAACAACTGAGTGGAAAGAAAACTTGAGGAACTTAGCGCATTCAGGAGAAAACAGATATCTATTGAGGAAAAAACGTTGTAAGAATCAGCATATAAACTGAGGTCTGATAGCTAGTATTTGTCATACACAGATGTGAAAAAATATGAAATTGAAGATGATGCAACAGAACTGAGAAGCAGCAAAATCAAACCTCAAATGGATGAGGAACAAGATGTAAACTGGTGAGCTGAAGCCTGTAAGCTGATGAAGTATAATACAGGGCTTTAGAAGAAATGCTGCAGGGAAGAATAATTGAATACTTGGAAAACTGGGTAAAATGAAACACGTATGCTATAAAGCTTTTAACACTGTGAAATGGTAATTGTTAATGAAGAAATGAAAATCAGCAGGAAAGCTGTAAGGCAAAAGGGGAAACAGTCAGTTATTGAAAAGAAAGCACTTCCCAGATATATTAGTACCTGAGAAGATCACTAACCCACAACATGATGCAGCCAGGACAATGACAAATCCAACTGTACAGTGTGCTACCACATAAACCTGGCAAAACCACTGGTATTTCTGTAGAAGCCACTATTACACTTTACTCTGGAGTACCAGGTATGGTGCAGGTCACTCATGAACTCAAGCTACAAGAGATGGGCTGTACGCTGATGAGGAGAACAGAGCACTCATCTGAAAGGCCACTAGAAAGCATGATCTCAGTGAATCTAGCAAAAGCGAAGGCTGACTGCTGTGTGTGTGTGTCAGTGAGTGGCAGAGGGGATGTGAGAGAATGGAGCAGGAAACAAAGAGAAGAGCTACTCAAACTGAAAGACAACTCTGGCACAAAAACAAACGTGAAGCCACAAAAACATGTTGGCTGGAAATTTGAAAGTTTTTAACCACCAGTAAACATGAGCCTTCAATTCAAAGAAGAAAAAAAAAATCTTTGTTTTAGGATTCAGATTGAAATATTTATGAAAGGGAATAAGAAACAGTGCTTACGATGTGCTCCATAACCTATGAAGTCTCTTCAAATCCTGTGTGCAGACTGAGCACTAAAGCCCTGCCAATTCATCTTCTACACTGAGAGAACTGACAGAGTTGGAAGAATACAGGCTAACGATGTCTCTTGAAGGTCCACATGCAACAAGGGATCTTTGCAGTCAATTAAAGGAGAAAAAAGCTGCTGGCTTTCAAATACAGCATTTATGATTGAAAGCCGCCTTGTCTTCTGGAAAGCATCTGCTCCTCTCCCTAAGAATCCAAACAACCACCTGAGGGTGTGGAGAACACAAGGAGGCTTCCAGGATATCTCGGGAAGCATTTCTAAAACTCACGCGTATTTAACCATTTGTCTTGTTCTAATTCGAAACCAGCCATAGCCAAAATCTGGAGAGAGTAGAGAAAGGTGCACTGTCTGAACCTAGGCCTGAATCTAAGTCCTTTATAAGGAGGCTACTTGTATAGCATGCTGAGACAGAAACTTGTTTCCACAACCTTACTTTCCCAAACTTTGATTAAGAACCTACATTTTCATTTCAACATAATGGAAAGATTTTCTTTTTGCTTCAGGAAAATAAAGGAACATACAATTCTACAGATGTTCCTGACACATGTAAAAGAACTCATTGCTT